ATGAAAATTGTGGGGTAAAAATTAGAAATGACAATCCTTAATTGTGGCTTTTGTCTTCATATATTATATAGATTCCCCTTACAAAAAACACATGTTTGTATTACTATTTACAATATAACAAAAGACGGAATTTGTGGATTGAAAACATTGTGTAATTCTGTAAAATTATACTATCCAAATCAAACATTAATCATTCACTTTCATTCTTCCATTATTATAATTTTCAATAACTATTAATGAGATTTAGTTAATTGATTCATTAATTATAATATTACCATTAATATAACCAATTAAAAACTAAAAATCTCAATCGATCATTTATTTTAGTTGGTAAAACAAATCCGGTCATTATGCAAATTATATCTTTCAAATTAATATAAAGAATAATTTTATACTTATAAAACATGATAATGTAATAATAAAAAAATATAAAATTTATAAATTATTCATATATAATTTATTCACATAGATTAAAATATGTGCACAATACCCATTTGTGTGTCAAAACATTATCTATATTTGCAAAACGAAACAAATAACTAAAAAATAAGATAGATCAAAAAAAGATTTTACACGAAACAAAGATTATGAATTAATAATACACCAAACATGACAAAAATAAAAGAAAAAGAAAGTAGCGATGATTGAATGTCGAGAGAATGTAAGAAAATCGTAATTCTCATTGAAACAGTATCAAGTGAATAAGGATACAAAATAAATTTTATAATGTGACATTTAATGTAATAGATTCTTTTAAATTGAATTAGTAGACAAACAACATAATGTACATGCGAAAGACTTTTATTAATTGTTTGCAATAATATATCATCTTAAAACTATTTACTATCAATAATTAGTGCGACAAATAGTTTCACATATTTTTGTAACCTATTAAAAAGAAGGGAAGATAAGCCTAGTAGTAAAACTACCACAATTTCACTATAATAATTTTGCAGTAAAACTTCACTTGGATCCCATTTCTCTCACTTCTGCATAACCAAAAAAATAAAATAATATATCAAATTGTCTTAATAATGCAAATATGTAAAAAAAAAAAAAATCAAAACAAACTACAGAAAACTACATTATAAAATATTCATATCATAAGAAAATATTGAGTACTAAAATAAATAATTGTAAAGAAAAAATGTAAGCAAACCGTGTTGATGAATTATGTATGGTCGAAATTGGATTCGTGAAAATAATCTGCAAGAAATACATAAAGCATATTACATGTTATTATTTAACTAAATACAAATATAAAATGGAGTTGAAACATATAAAACAATTATGAATACATAAATATATAATACCAACACAAAATAAAAGAAGAGAAATGCACATATTTAAAATAATTCTGACAACATATTTTTAGTATCAGTATTGACTTCAACATATTTATGTATATATAAAATTAATTATGAATATAAAACTATGCATATATACTTATAATAATTTATAAGAAATGATAAAAAAAATGTAATATGAAACTGTATAATACGAACATTGTGCACTTTGTAATCGAATGGTGGTAGAAAAAAATTAAATGAACATTGAGGGGTTTATATAGTATTGAAAATGAACTTAATTCTATGGAAAATTAAAAATTCAAAAGATTTATATATTAGTAAACGAAATCAAATCAAACAAATAAGGGAAACAACCAAAAAAAATAATAATAACTTGTGGAAAAAAATATTGCAATATAAAAACATCAAATATGAAGATACGATTTTTTTTTTTTACCATTC